ATCCCCAACAGTGATGGCTTTAGCTCATGTGCATTCTATGGCACAAGACCAAGTAAGAGGGGTTTCTTTTAACCAAGAGGGTCAGATAAAAAGTAGTTTGAATCCCACCAGTCTTGAGCCATTCTGGTTCCAGATAAAATGAGCTTTCTGACAAAGAGAACCATATGTTGGACATAAGGGGGCATTAGATTCAACTAGGCTGGCTTAGTATGTCAATTTCTGCCTGCCTTACATAGCTGAAACTGACAACATATTCTGGTCTTTAAAAAATGTGCTCTACAATTTTCATTCTGTTAATTTAGCAGACATACTAAGGGTACAATCATGCACACACTTAATGAACACACACAGAGAGTGTTCATTAAGTCTACCATTGAGTCTACCAAGGTCACTATTATCTACTCTGACCAGCAGCACTTCTTCAGGATCTCAGATAGAAGTCTTTTATATCATCTATGGTCTATCTGACTGTTTTAATTGGGTAGAGGGATTGAATTTAGGACCTTCTGCATTTCAGCTAGAAATGTGGTGTCTTTATGTATGCAAAGTAGATGCCCTATCAAGACACAATCTCACCCCTTAACAAGAACTGTCCAAATCAACATAAGCAGAATCCTGTGCATGGTTAATTTATTTAGTTGAGCCACCATGGATCAAACAGAAGAGACCATTTCCTTACCACCAAATATGTTGTAGCAGCCATACAGCAATTCGTTTTGAATCCCACATGTACATTGCTTTATGGTATAATCCTACATGGATACAGCAACCCTCCAAAAACTATGATGAAGTTTCAGAACTGCTGCTGCTCTCGAACTGGCACCATGTTACAACAATTACTACAGCTGTAGAAGTATAAAAGCCATACAGATTCTCAAGCACACACACAAAAAGCAGCTTTCCCAATCTGCAAATTGACAGACATGGTCTGGAATGGGATTTCGTTGTTTAGAATTTCCCATGCACCTGTTGGGCCAACTTAGATAAGGATTTTGATGTCCAGAGAGAGAGAGAGTGTTCCCCCCTACACCATTTTCTCAACCTCAAATAGTCCTGGGAAGCAGCTGTTTGCCTAGTTGGGGATAATTATGTGTATCCATCAGTACATGCAAGTTTTCCCACCAGGGCTAATGGTAGCTCCCTGGTGCCATTTCAGATCTGAAAAATGACACTGGGGTGAGCTTATTCCTCTATTCCCATGCCCTGCAGTCCTGATCCAAATTGGGCCCAAATGTACCTGGGAATTCAGTTCTGAACGTGGAACGCCGAACAGGGCAGCCACGTGGGGGCCGCAAATAAATTTGCCCTGAGGCTGGCTGTTACCTCTCAGTATGAAAGTTCTTAGCCATCAGTTGAGCTGCAATGATGTCAGTCACGGAAACTGAGACTCAAACTTCCATAAAAACCAATACCTTAAACTCCTGGGATCATACGTGTTCTTTTTAGCCAATATGCAGAATATAACTCCCTAGATTTATTCCCACTTTAATCAACAGATCTTTGCAGAATTAACTTTTGCTTTGTATCTAAAAAGGTATATAACGGAGTCAAAGCTACCACAGTATAAGCAAATGAAGAGCCAGATACTCTGTGTCCCTATTTCGCTATTCTGGGGCAAAGTGATGCTCTGTCTTCTTGTTGCTTGGGGGGGGGGGTCAACAGTGGGAGGGCTTCTAATGTCCTGGCCCCACTGGTGGACCTCCTGATGGCACTGGTATTTCTGGCCACTGTGTGACACAGAGTGTTGGACTGGATGGGCCTTTGGCCTGATCCAACATTGGTGTCTTTTATGTTTTTATGAACAGTTCCTGCCAGCCCACACTTTGTAAGAAATACTTAAAATAAAACTCAGATAAAAACCAAGCTTCAGAACATCAGATCATTCATATTAATTTATATAGGAAAGTCAACCTGTTTACCCTTTCCAGGATAGCTTTTACCACATTAGCTCCTCTGCCCGAAAGTTCCATGATAATCTAAGAGATATGCGCTGAAGAAAAATGACTTTGGGAAGTACAGTTGCTAATGGAAAATAATCCTGCCTTAATGCATCCATTTGAATTCAGTCCCTGAGCTTGTCCTGGTCACAGTAAACATTCCTTATTCTCAATCAGATACAATGCTGGTAAGGAACCAGACGCATTAATAGGGTAAAGAATAAGATCTTGGAGAATAGGACAGCCTTTCATTCAGAATATCACTGTGAAATCATGAATCAAAGACACACAGGGTTTATTTGATAGATAAGGTCACACCAAAGCTGAAAGGAGACAGGAGAGCAGTCTTCCAGCACAGAGAAACTACACAGCAATTATCTATACTTTTCAGAATTAAAAACCTATTATTTCCTAGCTTTTCAGTTTCACTTTTTTAAAAACAACAGCAATAACAACATAACAGGCATAAATTGCAATATGTCTTGCTAACTGCAATTATATCAAAAAAAGGATCCAATTAATGTCTAAATTAAAGAGATTGACTGTGCAGTTAATTCTTCAGTTTCATGTTAGCCTTGCCATGCATAAAAAAAGCTGCATACCTGTTGTTACTTTCTCCCTGTTTTGATTCACCGGGTGGGGGAGGAAACACAGCACACATTTATCTTTTAGTGTTGACAGTTATTCTGAACTATCACTGAAACTTAAATAGTGGTATTATTTTGAATGAATGAATCCAGTGTGGATTTTGCTCATGCATCTGTTACCTATGCAGGAAACTGGGACTGTCTTGGATGGGGAAAGTACACTGTTAGAGTCGAACATTTTCCCTGTCGCTCAGACACAGCTTTTTGCAATATTTTGTAACTGTAAAATGTCTCTTAAACATTTAAAGGCATAAAGTACATTTACACTGCAATCTTAAAAAGAGCTGTCCTTCTAATTCCTTAGAAGGGTATAGCTCAGTAGGACTACAGTACAAAGTATCTAGAATATTTTTTTTACAATTATAATATTAGAATATGTATCATATGAGAAAGTGCATTTCACTTGACTGACTTTCTTTTGAAGCTGCTGTGTCCTGGCAAGATTAGTAATATTATTACATTAATTATAATACTAATATTCATACTCAGACACAACGGTTCAAAAGAAAGCCAGTCAAGGGAAATATGCTTTTTAAAACGTCTGTTTAAAATTCTGCCTAAATCTTACCTTACAAGAGACATCAGGACACTCAGTGAGACTCGAGAATGAGAAAAGGGGAGAGGCATAATGCCCATAGAAATTTAATATGTTCTAAATGATTGGAGGGGGTAGAAATTGAAGGGGGGGGGATCACAATATTCTACCCTTCACACAACACCATTCTGGAAGTTTCTGTGCATCAGTGAGTAAACCCAAGCGAAAAAAAATCTCACTTTACACAAGGCATTGAAAAATATGTCTTCTCTCACTGGTGACGTGCAGGGTAAATGTTTATTTGTCATGAATACATGGATCAGGAAGCCACAGCATACTCCACTTCGCCAGGGATGGTGCACTGTGCCCCCCCAAACTGAACATTATTTCTGTGTAACAAAATCATCAAGATTAAAAAGTGAGGGGAGCACCATCAGTCTTCAAAGTGAATTTATTCAGGGTGGCTTTACCTTTCTGGGAAGGATCTATGTTTTCATACCATAGCTCCTGGCTGCAGAAGAAGCTTTCTGTCACCTATTTCAGTGTATGGGTTGAGGGCCACATCTCGCTGGATATTTTGTATTCAGGCATGATACAAAGCACCTTCTAGCAACGGATGCATACTGAAACCTGCTTTTCAGCAAACAACATGGGTATTAGTGTTCAGAATTGGATCCGCATCCATCTAAGTTTGGTGTATTTTAACGTAAGAAGAGCCCTACTGGATAAGACCAGTGGTCCATTTAGTCCAGCATCTTGTCTTACTCTGTGGCCAGCAGTTCCTCTGGATGATCAACAAAAGAGCATAGAGTCCGAGACCTTCCCCTGATGTTGCCTCCTGGCACTGATATTTAGAGGTTTACTGCCTCTGAATGAGGAGGTTCCCTTCAGTCACCATGGCTAGTAGCCATTGACAGACCTTTCCTCCACAAATCTGTCTCATTCTTTTTTAAAGCTGTCTATGCCTGTGGCCATCACTACATCCTCTGGGAGTGAAATCCACATTTTAATCACTCACTGTGCAAAGAAGTATTTCCTTTTGTCCATCCTCAACCTACTAATAAGGAGAAAAAGTTATCTTTGTCCATTCTCTCCACCCCATGCATAATTTCATTAACTCCTATAATGCCCCCTCCCCTGTGAGTCATCTCCACCAAAAGCTTGCATACTTGGTACTCCCCATCCAACCCCAACCACAAAGCAGCCCTACTACCTGACACCAAGAGGTTGCACTGTGGCTCTGTGGTAGAGTACCTCCTTTACATGTATTAGTTAGTTTCCAGGTTCAATCCCTGGAATCTCCAGTTAATAGATGCAATGAAACCCCACAGTGGAGTCCCTGGAGAGCCACTACCAGCCAGAGTAGACAACACTGACATTGACAGACCAATGGTCTAACTCAGTATAAGGCAGCATCATGCGTTCATGCATACTATGATGATATTATACATAAGCCACAATTTTTGTGACCTGACATTTAAGGCTGCACACGGCTCCCCAGGGAGAAGGAGCAGTGCATGCATCTTGTTCCTATGGCATGGCACTGTGGTGTGCCTGCTAATCTGTGACTTGTAAGGCGGCTCTAGCCCTCCACATTCTTGCAACTCGTTCCCATAGAAAACAATGGGACTTTCATGCTAGGATAAGACTTCCCGGAGGCAAAGCCCACTTCCTTGAGTGGAAGGACTGACACGCCGAGGAACACCATTTCTTTTCCAAGTTGAGGCTGGAGCTTTCAGAGGCCCCTCTTTGCAAAACACCCAGCCAGCCCACACTCCCAATTAAAACATAAAGTCCCTAATTCATGGCGATCGGCATTCAAAAGACAATGCGCGCAAGGGGTTTGGGGGTGGGAGTGGAAAGCAGGGAATGCGACTTTACCTAACGTTTGCAAACTTCCCTTTGGCCGCGCTCCGTTTGCCTGGCTTTTTCTGGAGACGTGGCTCCCGCCTGGAAACCTGAGCTGCCTCTTCCTCCTCTTGCTCCGCTGCTGCTGCAGGCGGGACGGGTCGGAAATGTGCCCGGAGCGCTGGGGCCACGTCCGCCCCCGGCCCGGAGGAAACGTGCGCCAAGCGATTTCCCTTAGCAACTTTCAACGGAGGCTCGTCCGCGTTGCCCACGAAGAGGTACAGCAAGAGCAAGATGCCCAGGCAGAGCGCCAGGGCCACCACTTTGCAGTAGAGTTTCATGATGCGCCAGGCAGCCTCAGCCCCGCGGAGACGCCGCCGCCTCGCCCCTCAGCATCCTCCTCCTCCCGCCGCCGCTCGCACGCTTGCTGGCAAATTGGATCCAGCCTTGACATTTTAAAGCTGCTTTTTCGCTGCCCGAGGCATTGTGCGGAAGGAGGGAGTTGGTGGCGCACAGCGCCACGCTCGCCCGACTCCGATTGCAGCGGCCGGGGCAGCGGCGAGGGAGGGAGAGGAGGAGCGAGTGTCGCCCCTACCGTCAAGTTCAGAATAGCGCCGCCTCCAATAATGCCCCGAAGGAATCTTTTCCATCTAGACCGGAGTCCTTCGCTGTACATCCTGTACATCCAATACTGCGCACCAAGTATGCACCATTACCGTGGAACGCCGTCACACAAGTTAACAAATAGGATATAAAAACAGCACAGCAGACAAATCAATTTTAGATGCAGTGACTGAACAAAGTTTGAGTCCAGCTTTATTCAAGCTATGGGCTTTCGTGTGCACACAGACCGATACCTGAATATCCTCAGTATCTGAGGAAGTGTGCGTGCAGACGAAAGCTCATACCTTGAATAAAACTTGGTTGGTCTTAAAGGTGCCACTGGACTCTAACTTTGTTCTATTGCTTCAGACCAACACGGCTGCCCACCTGGATCTATATATAGTGATAGTTATTGAAAAGTACTCGGAAACGTGGAGTGATTTCAGCATAGAGTACTTTATTAGATCAGAACGAAGACAAAGACGCCGGCTCCCAGGCCGGCTTATATGCGTTCAGAAAACCCGCCACCAGTACACCTAAACACACACCCCTACTCCCAATAGGCTATTTACAGTAACCAGGCGACCATTGGTCTCCCGGCTGGGAAGCTGGCCCTTTGATTGGGCCGGCTAGGATCCTTCGGATCCTTTGTCTTTCGACTGAAGCTACTGCTAACTTGGTGCCTGGCCAGGCCGGGCAAGTCCGGGCATGTCCGGCTGACTGCTTTGCATGTGGAAAAATGGCAGTACATTACACCCCTCCCCCCATAGTCCAGACTACCCACATACAAAGTCCTGGAGGTATGCGGGAGCCTTCCTGGGCCTCGTGGAACGGCGTAGTTCCGGGGTGCCATGCGAGGCTGCTGCCGGTGGCCGGGGGGGAGGTTGGTGGCGGCAATTCCGGCGGTGGCGACGTCGGGGGCTCCGGTGTGACCGGGGCCGCGGCCCCGGCTGGGGTCTGCGGGTCTGGTGCGGGGACCGAGGTTTCGTCGGGCTCCTGCGGCTCTAGTTCCTCGGGGTCGTTCGGAAGGACCCGGCGCCTCTGTTGGTCGATGTGGCGGTGGAGCAGTTGGCCATCCTCGCAGGAGACCTCGTAGGATCGAGGTCCTCGCACTCGAACCACTCGTGCGGGAATCCAGGGCGGCCCTTGTGCATAGTTCTTCGCGTAGACTGGATCCTCGGGGAAGAACCCTCGGGTGGCGGCGTGTGATTCCGTTGCCGGTTCTACCTCGGGCGCCCTGTCGGGGTGTAGGCGGTCCAGCCGGGAGGTTAGGCGGCGACCCATCAGGAGTTCCGCCAGGCTGCAGCCGGTCTCCATGTGCGGGGTCGTACGTTGGCCGAACAAGAACACCGCCAGCTTGTAATCCCAGTCCTTACCGTCGAGCTTGCGCAGGGCTTCCTTGGTGGTGTGCACCATGCGCTCCGCCTGGCCATTGGTTGCTGGGTGGAATGGGGCCGACCGGACGTGGCGAATCCCGCAATACCTCGTGAAGTCCTGGAACTCGCTGGAGGTAAATGCCGTGCCGTTGTCGGTCACCAGGGTGTCCGGCAGACCGTGGGAGCTGAAGATGTGGCGCATTGCTCTGATGGCGGCCTTAGAGGAGGTCGATGGTACTGGCACCACTTCTAGCCATTTACTGTACGCGTC